TTATTGGGCTCCGCGGGGACATGGTGCATGCAAACAACAGAAAAAGAAAGTTTTTGCACGTTCGACAGAGCTCGTTTGATATAAATTATAATTCGAGGATAAGAACTGAATTCGGAAAGTTTTGTTATTTATACTCGTGAAATTTTTATAATTACTCGAAACGAATAATTTTTGTTATGTTTGAAAATTGGGCCAAATCTGCCGTAAAATAGTCGAATGTTATGGTTACGCTGCTTTTTAACTTCCCCGTAGGGTAAGTTATTGGAATGGGCAAAAAATCGAAATTGAAATTTTTTACATTTCTCGACGTTTTGAAGGTTTCTGAACATTTTGGCATACCTCAGAAAAAAATAGATGTGTGTGTGTATGTATGTATGAATACAAATTTCCAGTCACGTTTTCGGACGCACGGATCAACCGATTTAAATGGTTCAAAAAACATTCAATTCCTATTGATAGAGAGATGAGCTGATTAGTTTTTGGCAAAGGCAGGTCCAGCAGTTACGGAGATAAAGAGCAAAGAGTGCAGAAAATAGAAATCGAGTTTTTGAGAGACGGAGCATTCGATTGGAATGATCTAAAAAACATTCAATTAGTAATGATTGGGAGAAGTGGTTATTAGTTTTAGGCAAAGGCAGGCCTAGCCATTTCGGAGATACAGAGCTAAATGTGCAAAAAATGGCAGTTTTTGAGAGAACTAAGCATCCGATTTAAATGATTCAAAGAACTTTCTGCTTGTCTTAACAAAATAATTGATTTTGGAAAAAAAAATTGTCTCAACTTTTTTTTTTCAAAAAAAAAATTTGTATATCAAAAATAATTCAGATTTTATTTTTAATTCTGACTATAGTTCTAATATACTTTAAACAAATAATTTAAACTTTGCAATTCAGTTTATATAATTCTTATAAAATATTAGACAATGTTACAATATTAATAATAATCTATTTGAAAACATTCAAAATTCCTTGAACATTTCGTTGCGGTACGGGAAGTTCCAGCAATTTGCCTTAAGGCACCATGCCATACACCCCACTAGTTTCTTGACGTGTGTCACACAAATTTGGACAAAGCGTGTGGTTCTCACTTTACCATTTATGATTATGTAATATATATTGACGAATACAATCTACAACTAAATCCAAAAACCTCAAAAAACCCTCAAACGAAAAGATATTTTGAGAAATGTAGGTCCAAGTTTTTTTCAAGAATTGGAGCAACTTATTAAAGAGCGAAATTAAAAAATTAATGTATAATATTAAAATCCATAAATGCTTTAATAATAATCCAAGATTCATATTCAGTGTTTCAGACATTTTTACAAAACCACTCCCGTGTCCATCGACTTTTCTCATCATATTATTTTCAGCAAATCTTCTATTTTCGTCCGTAATAAAGGCTAGTGTTTCGACATTGGACCATTATCATTTATGATTATGCAATATATTATTGGGGAACACAATCTACAACTAAATCCAAAAACATCAAAAACCCTCAAACGAAAAAATATTTTGAGAAATGTAGGTCCAAGTTTTTTTCAGGACATGGAACAACTTATTAAAGGGCGAAATTAATGCACACAATTAATGCATAATATCAAAATCCATAAATACTTTAATAATATTGCATAATTCATATTCGTCCTTGAACACTTCAAGGACGATGGTGCGTGCATCGTGCATCAACTGAACGCACCATCAACAAAGCGCATTGCACTTCGTAAAGTGATATTTTATATCAAAAAAATAGTATATATTATAATATAGAATTATCATGCTATATATATATATATATATATTCAATATATATGTTCAAATACAATCTATAACATACCATTTGATTAGCAATTATTCTCGATAAATTCACACACGCGGCGACATCAACTCGGACAAAATGGCACTCGGAAGAATTAACACCACCGAAGACCGACGATTGATGACCGATAATAGACGATAGACAAGTGATCGCTTCGAGTGCCTCCAGACAACTGAATTTGCATAATTTTTGACAATATATTTGTCCTTGTCTAGGTCTTGCCATATATGGGCATATTTCGAATGCACGATGACGTCACACAAAGGTTCTATTTACATACGTCGAATGCAAAATATTGCACTCAAAAATCGAAGACAAAAACCGAATTTTAATAGTATGCCAGCGAATTTATTCAAAATTAATAAACCAGGTGCAAGTCTTAGGTGTAAGTAGCATTTCGCCTTAAGGAATGTAATTAATCCACTGAATCAATGCACTCAAGAATCGAAGACCAAGACAGAAATTTACCAGTTTGCGCAACGATTTATTTAAAACCACTGTAAGTGTCATTTTGCCTTAAATAAATTATCTTAAATAAATCAATTATCAATTTCAATTTCATCCCTTCGCCTGCTAATGCAAGTTCATATTGCAAAAAATATATCATTTAATAAAGAAGAAAATACGATAACTTTAGGTGGCATGTGTTGCAATTCCTAATGACGAAACGATAGCAATTGTTTTCTATGTTAACATGCTGCAAGAATATAAATTTATGTATGAAGTTATACGTACACGTGTCACCTAGAAGTTATGGAGTGGATCTTTGCCAAGTGAATTTTCGAATATGGTAATATTGATCAATAAAATATCGATTATTTAGAATAATGCAATCAAATTGAAGAACATACAAATATTACAGAATATTAATTATTGATTATCAATTTAACCGCTTATACAGTTTTCGTTTAAAAGGTGATCCAAAGATTTAAAATGTTGTAGCATTTATAAATATAAAAGTAGTATATTTTATTCATCATTTAAAACACTATTTGCAATTGTAAATACTAATAATGTTTTGTTACAAAGAACATTACCACCAACAAGCTTCTTCACTTAATGATATTCAAACAGCCTTATTTTAATATATTATATTTACATAGTTTCATCTAATTACTAGCATTTTAATGACATATATAGTTTAACATGTTCCCATTTAGCTGAATCGAGTTTATTCAAAAATACGTCTTCGTCATGAGTTCTTCTAAACATTCTATCTTCCTCAGCATATTGCAATTGATAATTATTCAAACTCGATATAATCCGAATGTGTCTTTGATAATACAATATGCTCATGAAAAAATTCCAAAAACTAAATTCCGGCCACAGTTGTTTAGTAAAATAGACACAAGTACCCGAAATTTGCCAGAGCAGAAAATCACTGAATCGTAGTTCTCCTGATGTCCTAACCAGTAGATCAGGATTCGGCATATCTGATGTGTACATGCATTTTGATATTATTTCTTCAGTTACTAGATATGGTTTTAACTCCTTATTTTCAACTCCTTGAACTATATCCTTCATAGCAGTCACCATTTCAAACTGAGAACTATAAGCTACAGCAATATTTAAGAATACTTTAGCATTGTCCTTACTCATGTAAGTGATTTTCGCTGCCAATTTCTTGACATCATCAGGAAGCATATCAATATTTCCAAGAAGTCGAATCCTAACACCATTTGCCATAATATTACCCTCTTCGTCCAGAAGATTTTTGAAGTTTTCTCTGGCTAAATTCATTAAACCATCCACCTCCTCCTTGCTTCGTTTGAAATTATCAATGCTGAAGGCGTACACCGTTACTTCTCTTATTCCGAAATGAATACACCACTGCAGAGTTTCAGACATTTTAACAAAACCACTCCTGTGTCCATCGACCTTTCTCATCATATTTTTTTCAGCAAATCTTCTGTTACCGTCCATAATAAAGGCTATGTGTTTTGGCATTGGACCACATTTGAGGATCCGAATGCAAAGCAACTGGAACCAGGTTAAATGCACTTGACGTAGCCAACGCATGATGATAAATCAACTAACTAAAATTGGTTTTCAAGTAAACAGAAAATTAAAATTGTAAAATACTTGCAGAAGTTTGGGGAAACTACAGTTTTACTAGAAATTTCCATGGAATTTGAAAAGAATTTACAGAGTCGCATTGGAAAAATGAGAAATTGTTTCTGGCATTGAGCCGTAATTAACTATGAAGTTCTGGATTTTAAATGTATAAAACTGATTAATTGCGTATGTTTAATAATTGAAAATCTTGTTATACTACATATTTAGCGCCTCAATTAACTGAAACAAATCTAAGAGGAATAGAATAGATTTTGCAGGGCAAATTGTTCTAAAATTTTGTGTAAGGATAAAATATTTGGATATAGTATTTGGAATTGATCATTTGCTTTTATTATATTAGAATACTTCAATCAATTTTTATATATCATTAAATCTATATTTATATTTTAAAGTAATATGATATTTATAAGGACTATTTTATTTTAAGGCAAAAGAAGTATATTGGCAATAACATTATTCCTTCAGAAAGTACCTCTCTGAAAATTCCTAAGGTTTCCGCCAATGAAATAATTTTTCCACGACAACTAATACAACATTCCGCATAAAATTATGATAAAATTGCAAGTATACAATCATAAATATCGCGCACGTGAAGTAATTATTCCAATATCGTGATGACATTTAAAATTTTCAAGAACGTAATTATAAACACCTGTTAAAATTTCAAATATTGTCTATAATTAAATGGTCAGCGAAATATGTTTTTTTCTGTTTATTTATGACGTTTTCAATGGAGAAGCTCAAAAAATAAATTAGCTGAAAACATAATTAATTTTACGCAGATTATCCTATGTTAGGCCTATAAAAACACATAACATAAAGCAGCATTTTTTCAGAAAATGCATCCCTGGAAATAACAAAGGTTTTTTGAATAAAATAGCATTATCACGGATAAACAATTATAGCATTCCGCATAAAATTATGATAAAATTTCAATATCGTTATTTACGGCGCTTGAAGTAATTAACGCTACTTTTTAGCAGCGATATTGAAGTTAAATTAATTGTCTGAATTCTGTAAAATCGTAATATATATTACATTTCATTGAAACAACAAAGTTCTCTATAGAAAACAATGTATTTTGGTAATAAATAATATACATTACAAAATTAATATTATAAAATTCTATTGGGTATTTTTATATAAAATACATTTACAAGTATCTCATAAATTAATGTTATCTCTTTATCATGAGCTCTTAGATAATTCTTGCATTAAACTTCGTGCTTTTTTTAGCTCATTGATCATTATTATAAGGTCTTCTTTGCCAATGTTAAATATATGTTCTTTCGTTACACGTTGTCCATCTTCAACAACGTCTCCTAGTGTTAAATTTAATTGTACACAATCTATAGTGTTCTCTGGTATATTGGCAGTAACTTCTTTTAATCTGTTAACTGCAGAATAATATAAAAAAAATTATATTAATATAATTTGAGAATAATAAAATGATGGAGTGTATCCAGAAAAGGTGCAGCCCTCTATACAAAAACTTCTTGTTATTGAGTTGGGGTGTGTGAACAGAATGGATGAAAGAAAAACTAAATGAATGTTTTCTAAATACAATAGTACCCCCGACTTACAAGTTTAATTTGTTCCTTGAAATTGAAATTGAAATGCCATTAATTTGTTCCAGCAATGTGGCTTTTGTGAAGTTTTTTGAATATTAAAAATAAATTTAATATTTATTAATTTGATTGTTGTTTCTTACTGCCCATTCACAATATTGCAAAATGAGTGTGACCTGTTTGAACAACTTCTTTGCTCGAACTGTTGCAATTTTACAATCAGAAAACTACCTATAAATTATTGTAACGCCCTTGGTGGAGTAATACCCTTTATCAACTCCTTACGTTAAACTCGTACATCCTCGCCACCCTCATATTTTTAAAGAATTTTATTATTTCATTCAAGAGACATGATCCTTTTCTTTAGAACCATGGTTATAAAAGTAAATAATGTTTTGTAAATGTACAAAAAGAAAAAAATGCAAACTCAACATGTATAACTGTACAAACACTATTAATGTATTATTAAAATTTCAAATGTTAAAATAATCCTTGATATATTCTTGTGAATAAATCGTTAGTACACAAGTAATATTAACTTATTATCATAAAACTGGCAAAATAATTCTATGGTAGTAAAATCATTTTTATCTACCAAATCTCAAGTCACTCGTAAGTCAGAGTACCACTGTATTAACAAATTGGCATTGCGCCACTTTAAGAGTAAATATTTGTATTTCTTGTAGCAAAAACAATCCAATGATTTGCTCTCAATATTACACATTCCTAAAATAAATTTCTTGAAGTAAAAGTTTACCCCTCAAACCTACCTCTTAAACTTTGTTCTCTCAATTTTGCAGTAATTGCAGCACATTGCTCATTATATACTTTACAAATTGCTGCACTGTGTTCTCGAGGTAACCCCAATTGCTGCAATTCGCTGGATAGAGCACTATCAACTGCTCCATGTCTGGCAGCTGATTGTAGTACAAAATTTACGCAAGAAGATGCTGCCTTTATGCTTAAAATATCTGTCCATAAAAATCAGACATTATTTTAGTATACAGTCATATAGATCTTGATGTCTGCTTCAATCGCTTTTCAGTCATTACATTTTCATTTGCTTTCGGGTGTTACTAATTTTTAGTCATGAACCAAACTTGATGTAAAATTTATTATGTGTTATTATGAATGAGTAGTCCAGTTCATATTTAAAATACATAAAACATCCATCATGAATTATATCCAGTTTGATACTAATGCACGAACAATGACTTCATTCACCATTAATTGGAAATGAAGTTAAAATACTGAGTAAAACGGATTGTTTAAGCAGAGTAAGTGAAAATTATTTGTATCTCCAATTTCATTGCTCATCTAAATGGTTTCAATGATTATTGTTGTGCGAGTCTTTCTTTTATTCCTGTACCTAACATCAATATCGCAAAAGATACTGAATACAATGCATTCTGGATGGCAATATATCATAAATATATCACTCTGCTTTAGAAATCAACATTTGATATAAATTTTCTTTAACAAAGTATTGAAATTAATTACATCAGCTCTCCATTAAACATCTAATATTAGATATATCCCACAAATAGGTTTAAGAATCTTCATAATTCTTCCAATATAATTATTCAAATAATGTTGGATTCAAGTGCATTGCAGGTAATGTGAATAATTATAGCATTGGTGGCTTGTAAATATATAATGCCAACATACCTAATTTGGTATCACTCATAATCTTGATCAGCTTTTCTTCCTAAAATGTAATGAACATCAGACTAAATGTCTACAGTAAAATTATTAGGCACTACCAAAAGCGTTCTAAATAATAGAATGGCACAGGTATCAGGAACTATAATGTTTTCCATTCCAAACGTTACAGAAATAAAAGTTTGTTCAACTTATTTATATCAAGTAGCCGATTCTTCCAGTTGCGATAAAAATCTGTATTTATTTTATTTTTACCTCACCACACATAGCGTGATGAGTATTTAGATGATTAAAAATTTTAATTTTTTCATATAATTCACAGTTGTCAGAGTGGACATCCAGATAACATACAGAAAATACAATTAATAAATCACAGTTAAATGAAAGAAGTAGAAATCATCAATACCGCTTCCATTCCAAATTATATATGTTAATTTTAAATAACGAACTTATTTCTTTGTTAACATTTGTAGACGCTTGCTTTCATAAGAATAATAGGATTCATATTCAAGATTACGATAAATAAAACCAATACCGAAGCCTATCAAGCAGTAATAATAAAAATTTGGTACTCACGTCTACTTTTCCATCCAGTATGCTTTGAACTACTAAAGTGGCAAGTTGGCGCACCCTGACTGAACTCAGCCTGGACAACGCATGTAATTCTGCTAAAAGCCAATCAGGGCAATCTGCGCCCCCGCAAAATCGGAAACGCTAAAAAATAATAAATTATTTTAATATATATATATATATATATATATATATATGTATATAATATATATATATAATGTATATATATATATATATATATATCAAATAATAGAGGACAAAACTTCAAATTTCTAATAATTATAATTGCAGCAGTTGTTCTACTTTTAATAAAGCTGGTGAAGAGTGGTATTTTGCTCTAAAGCAAATTGCACTGTTTATGTGTAAATAATCGACTTAAGGGGGGAGGAGCCTGCTTTAGAAGCTTAAAAAAATCGATTTTTTTATAGCAAAAATGTCTTCCAAAACTAACCAAATATAGTACGTGAAAGAGTAATAGTATTTGCGTACATAATAGTACGAGAGTATATAACAATGTTTGTAAATATAATAGTACATGAATGAGTAATAGTATTTGCGTACATAATAGTACGAGAGTATATAACAGTGTTTGTAAATATAATAGTACGTGAATGAGTAATAGTATTTGCGTACATAATAGTACGAGAGTATATAACAGTGTTTGTAAATATAATAGTACCTGAATGAGTAATAGTATTTGCGTACATAATAGTACGAGTGTATATGAGTGTTTGTAAATATAATAGTACGTGAATGAGTAATAGTATTTGCGTACATAGTAGTACGAGAGTATATAACAGTGTTTGTAAATATAATAGTACGTGAATGAGTAATAGTATTTGCGTACATAATAGTACGAGAGTATATAACAGTGTTTGTAAATATAATAGTACGTGAATGAGTAATAGTATTTGCGTACATAATAGTACGAGAGTATATAACATTGTTTGTAAATATAATAGTACATGAATGAGTAATAGTATTTGCGTACATAATAGTACGAGAGTATATAACAGTGTTTGTAAATATAATAGTACGTGAATGAGTAATAGTATTTGCGTACATAATAGTACGAGAGTATATAACAGTGTTTGTAAATATAATAGTACGTGAATGAGTAATAGTATTTGCGTACATAATAGTACGAGAGTATATAACAGTGTTTGTAAATATAATAGTACATGAATGAGTAATAGTATTTGCGTACATAATAGTACGAGAGTATATAACAGTGTTTGTAAATATAATAGTACCTGAATGAGTAATAGTATTTGCGTACATAATAGTACGAGTGTATATGAGTGTTTGTAAATATAATAGTACGTGAATGAGTAATAGTATTTGCGTACATAGTAGTACGAGAGTATATAACAGTGTTTGTAAATATAATAGTACGTGAATGAGTAATAGTATTTGCGTACATAATAGTACGAGAGTATATAACATTGTTTGTAAATATAATAGTACGTGAATGAGTAATAGTATTTGCGTACATAATAGTACGAGTGTATATGAGTGTTTGTAAATATAATAGTACGTGAATGAGTAATAGTATTTGCGTACATAGTAGTACGAGAGTATATAACAGTGTTTGTAAATATAATAGTACGTGAATGAGTAATAGTATTTGCGTACATAATAGTACGAGTGTATATAACAGTGTTTGTAAATATAATAGTACGTGAATGAGTATAGTATTTGCGTACATAATAGTACGAGAGTATATAACAGTGTTTGTAAATATAATAGTACATGAATGAGTAATAGTAATTGCGTACATAATAGTACGAGAGTATATAACAGTGTTTGTAAATATAATGGCACATGAATGAGTAATAGTATTTGTGTACATAATAGTACGAGAGTATATAACAGTGTTTGTAAATATAATAGTACGTGAATGAGTAATAGTATTTGCGTACATAATAGTACGAGTGTATATGAGTGTTTGTAAATATAATAGTACGTGAATGAGTAATAGTATTTGCGTACATAGTAGTACGAGAGTATATAACAGTGTTTGTAAATATAATAGTACGTGAATGAGTAATAGTATTTGCGTACATAATAGTACGAGAGTATATAACAGTGTTTGTAAATATAATAGTACATGAATGAGTAATAGTATTTGCGTACATAATAGTACGAGAGTATATAACAGTGTTTGTAAATATAATAGTACGTGAATGAGTAATAGTATTTGCGTACATAATAGTACGAGAGTATATAACAGTGTTTGTAAATATAATAGTACATGAATGAGTAATAGTATTTGCGTACATAATAGTACGAGAGTATATAACAGTGTTTGTAAATATAATAGTACGTGAATGAGTAATAGTATTTGCGTACATAATAGTACGAGTGTATATGAGTGTTTGTAAATATAATAGTACGTGAATGAGTAATAGTATTTGCGTACATAGTAGTACGAGAGTATATAACAGTGTTTGTAAATATAATAGTACGTGAATGAGTAATAGTATTTGCGTACATAATAGTACGAGAGTATATAACAGTGTTTGTAAATATAATAGTACGTGAATGAGTAATAGTATTTGCGTACATAATAGTACGAGAGTATATAACAGTGTTTGTAAATATAATAGTACCTGAATGAGTAATAGTATTTGCGTACATAATAGTACGAGTGTATATGAGTGTTTGTAAATATAATAGTACGTGAATGAGTAATAGTATTTGCGTACATAGTAGTACGAGAGTATATAACAGTGTTTGTAAATATAATAGTACGTGAATGAGTAATAGTATTTGCGTACATAATAGTACGAGTGTATATGAGTGTTTGTAAATATAATAGTACGTGAATGAGTAATAGTATTTGCGTACATAGTAGTACGAGAGTATATAACAGTGTTTGTAAATATAATAGTACGTGAATGAGTAATAGTATTTGCGTACATAATAGTACGAGAGTATATAACAGTGTTTGTAAATATAATAGTACGTGAATGAGTAATAGTATTTGCGTACATAATAGTACGAGAGTATATAACAGTGTTTGTAAATATAATAGTACCTGAATGAGTAATAGTATTTGCGTACATAATAGTACGAGTGTATATGAGTGTTTGTAAATATAATAGTACGTGAATGAGTAATAGTATTTGCGTACATAGTAGTACGAGAGTATATAACAGTGTTTGTAAATATAATAGTACGTGAATGAGTAATGGTATTTGCGTACATAATAGTACGAGAGTATATAACAGTGTTTGTAAATATAATGGCACATGAATGAGTAATAGTATTTGCGTACATAATAGTACGAGAGTATATAACAATGTTTGTAAATATAATAGTACATGAATGAGTAATAGTATTTGCGTACATAATAGTACGAGAGTATATAACAGTGTTTGTAAATATAATAGTACGTGAATGAGTAATAGTATTTGCGTACATAATAGTACGAGAGTATATAACAGTGTTTGTAAATATAATAGTACGTGAATGAGTAATAGTATTTGCGTACATAGTAGTACGAGAGTATATAACAGTGTTTGTAAATATAATAGTACCTGAATGAGTAATAGTATTTGCGTACATAATAGTACGAGTGTATATGAGTGTTTGTAAATATAATAGTACGTGAATGAGTAATAGTATTTGCGTACATAGTAGTACGAGAGTATATAACAGTGTTTGTAAATATAATAGTACGTGAATGAGTAATAGTATTTGCGTACATAATAGTACGAGAGTATATAACAGTGTTTGTAAATATAATAGTACGTGAATGAGTAATAGTATTTGCGTACATAATAGTACGAGTTTATATGAGTGTTTGTAAATATAATAGTACGTGAATGAGTAATAGTATTTGCGTACATAGTAGTACGAGAGTATATAACAGTGTTTGTAAATATAATAGTACGTGAATGAGTAATACTCTTATATACTCTCGTACTATTATGTACACAAATACTATTACTGCATAATGCATACAACTATTTATATGGTACACTCACCATTTTTAAGATAGATCAGTAAAAGTCCTTAGGACAAGCTCTTAGCCCCAGATAAATCTGAAAAAAAAAAGAAATAAAAATTAATATATTATAAATAAATGACTATTAATTGTATATAATGTCAATAAAAAAAGAATAAAAATACTGTTATAATATTTAACAAACGAATCACATACATTTGTGTAGGCACTTCCACCCTGCAAAAATTAATACACCAACGTAGGTTTTACATTCGAAAATAGAAATAGATTCGAATAGACCTTAATTACGCCCCATTAAATAATTATAATAATTTAAAACAATTTTGTAGTATTCCGTTACAAGTATTCCATTACACTCGTTAAAATATATTTGCAATTATCAAGTAATCGCCAAAAAATGCATCAAAGCGTAAAATATCTGCGAAAATACATTAATTTCGAGAGAGTAAAGAGTTAATTGTCGTACCAGAATAATATCGCAAATATTATACGTTGTTAGGTAATTCGAGAGGACATTAAAATCATTGAGGCAAATGCACTGAAACGAAATAAATGTAGGCACTGGTCCACATAGACAGCGGAGAAAAGATTGGCCAAAAATCACATCTCTTATTTGTAGTAAAAGACTGTGGCCTAGTAATCGATTCCAGATTCTAATCGCGCTCCGGACAACCTGACATCAAGAATCAGTTGGAAATATAGATCTGTATATAATTTCAAAAAGCTTCACGGTACATTGATGCAATATATATCACATTCTAACCACTGGATGGCTTCTAATAACGCTAGGTCATTAGAACATCACATCACATCAAAGAACCCAAAAAAAAAATTAAATAATAATTTTAATTTTTTATAAATGATGAAATTGATACATTAAACATACGAGAAAGAACTCAAGTTCATGCAAATTTGCATGAAATATTTAATATACAAAAAATTAAAAAAATATTTGAAGGTGCATTTGAGGAGATACCCATTTACTTTCCAATAAACTATCATCAAACTATCAGAAATCTAACATCCATTGCATTGCTTTAATTTAAAAAAAAATTACATGTATATAGCCCCATAGACATATACTTTAAATAAAAACCATAATTATCAAAATACAAAACTATTAAAAAAAGTTAGATGTAAATTCATGGAGGTGCATTAGATTTGATATCAAGATACCATCTTTGGCAATAAATTGTGTAATAAATGTTTTGGTAGCTCCAAAGGTTTTTGACTTTAAAAATATTTCCATTATCATCATCAATTTCGACTTGCCATTTGAACTTGCCCTTAGATCTATGTCCTTTTTAGGAAGAACTGCCTCGATATATAAGGCAGAAACATGATCCAAAAGTCCACAGTTCCTATTTAACAGAACAACCAGAACAACGTTCATGTTCTTAATTTAAAATTAATAGTCAAATTATTACCAACTTATGAAGGTCTATTGAAAACCTGTGATGTATGTATTAATCTACTTAATGAATTACTAAAAATCATTAACAGTAAGATCAAATTCATTTATATTTTAATTTAACATTTAACAATTATTGATAACAGGTGTTAATCATAGATAAAAAGCTACCCAGTTCAAAATTCCAGTAACAAACGTAAGTACGAACATTCTAATAGATTTTAAAACATGACTCTATAACAACATTTGAATTTTAGACTGAAAATGCATCCAATAACCTGGTTATTACTGTTACTGCCTTATTATTTAAAGACATGCAACTCCATGAACCTTCCTGATCAAAAGTCATTGGAAAAGACTTTGTTCAATTCAATACCTGACCACCATGATTTACTATTGGATGCTTTAGACACAATATCTGATGAAGGAAGATTGGAGAACATAGATCCATTGAATTCCAAGTGGCGATTGGTAAGAAAAAGAGACATTTCTATCAATTATAACAAAATATATATTGAAGTAACTGCAGAACATTATCAATATAAATAGCAGTAACATGTATCCAATGCTTTACTTATATTACTATACATTCTTTCCCCAGTTGAACTGTAATGATTATTTGCCTACAAATGTTCGTTTTCTAAAGTGCAACAAAAAACGCAGTATTTCTGAAAGCAAATCTTCAGCAAACGATGCAGATTTATCAAAACGTGAGTCAAAACTAAAAAAAGTACGTTTCTTCAGCTGGGGTGGAAAACGAGGTGATCATGATGAAATGTACAATAATTATTATCCTGATGAAATCGAAATACCACAGAATATTTTTGACACCAATGAAATGGATTACGAACAAGAATTGGCAAAAAGAGCTCAAACACCACAAAAGGTAAAAAAAAATTTAATTGGAAAGATGAAATTTGTGATAAGCAATAAGCTTACTACAGTAAATTAGGAATCATTTAATGAAAATATATAAGTTTAGGTCTATCGTATTGCATTGGTGGTTCTTTCCTAAAACCAGAATACAAAACTTACTTCTTCGTGTCAATAGCAATACAAAAAAAATCTGTAATAATTAAAATTTGTATATTGTATTTTCAGGTAAGAATTCCATTTAACTCTTGGGGAGGAAAACGCAAAGAACAACTAAAGAAAGTACGCTTCTTCAGCTGGGGTGGAAAAAGAAGTCCAGATATACTGGTGAAGTCTAGAAAAGCCCCCAAAGTACCCTTCTTTTCATGGGGCGGCAAAAGATCCTACATGCCTGAAGAAAGTGATTACATTGAAATGTAGTTTGCCATCAACAAAGTCTACTTATTGATTTGCCATAAATAAAAATGTAAATGATAGATATCTACAAAAACATATGAACATGTATTATTGACTAATATAAGCTTATTCCATGATTTCATAATAGAAATGGTTTTTCTTCATATATTAGTAAAAAATATATTACGTGGAAATAATTTCCACTTAATATAATACGTTCATTAATTAGTATGTATAATTATAGAAACAGGGTCAATAAATACTTGTAAGGTTTAAAAAAATACTAAATGAAAAACCTATTTTCATAAAACAGATTGAAAGATATTTGAATTGAAATTTGTATTAAACTGATACTACTTGAATTGAAATTCTTGCATGGTATTAAAATACACTATACACTAAGAATATAGTTAAATTATAGTGAAACAAATGAGTTATATATCATTTTACAAAAATGTGTGATGTGTAATTGTAAAGGTTTTGCTGAGCATCTCCATGAAGTAGATGTATCAGATAATGCGACTCCAAAGAAAGAATTCACACAAATGAACATATAATACCAAATTGCAAAAAAAATGAGAAGAAAGATAATGTTTGGTTCAAAATCTATAGCATGAAAGAAGTAATAAATCAATTCAATATAATTACATGAATGAGACATGTGAATAATATTTGTGTAGTGTACAGTGTTAAAAAATCTTAGTAAAAAGAACTTTAGAGTGTTCTAATAATGGACCAAATGTCTCTGAACCTTTTGAATAACAGGTTAAGGTTAAAAATGTTTGTATTGATTATTTATACCTGCCAGAAAAGCTGAAATGTTCACTTTTATGAGCAAGATGACTATGCATTAAAATAAACTTTGCCTTATAAGGTTAAAATTTATATGTGTGTTGGTCTAAGCTGTTTGAAAAAGGTATGTGCAAAGTCAGGCATTCTGCAAAACCTAAGCACTTACCAGGCAATAGGAAATATGCTATGGTAAAAGTGCAAGGCTGGACAAAACAACCTGTCATTGCACATACATTTTTAAAATCGCTTCGACAAACATATATAAATTTTAACCTTACAGATAAAGTTTACTTTAATGCATATACATCTTGCTCATAAAAGTGAACCTTTCAGATCATCTCAAATATAAAGTTGAAGCTTATAAGAGCAAGTTTAATATTCAGATTTTTTTATACATTGAAACGTCTAGGACACATGGTGTGCAGGGCTACAACCTGCTAGGCAATGGTTCTCGTAAGTAGCACAATTACGAGCAGTACAAGAATGTTCAGCCTTACTGGAACACAGTTATTCCATCGGGTCAATAGCACTCGACCCATAAAGACAACATCCAAATTTAATATTTCAGAATATAAATCAGAGTATCTGAATCCATAAGATTTATACTTGTACAGATTACGAATACTTAGTTCCTTCGTGGCCGTGCACAAACTAATTGTGCACGGCCTTGGCATATTAAATTTTAATATGAGACAACATTTTTCCCATTTATAGTACAGTCTATGATCTGCAAATGTATTTTTTTTATAAATTCATTTGTTAAAAATTGAACAACGCATTACCTGGATTTGTGTACAGAATCTCTAGTCGATAATCATTGTAAATCGAATACATTAACTACAGTTGATTCAGATTTCACAAGACACTTTTCTCAAATGATTTTTTAAAGATCATTGATTCAGTTGATTCAGTTCATTCTTCTGACATTTATTTTATTTTTTGAAGATTGGCGGCACCGAATTCGATAATCATCACGTTCACCAACATTACCCAATGAAAAATAATCTGTCAACCTCTTTCTTTCTCTTATCTATGCTGCTAACTACATTAATGTCACCCAACCTAACTAACAATTCATCACCGGTTACAAATTTATTTACTTTAATAGTATTGTGATTAGCCAATAGTAAATAATAATAACTCAAATGGATTGGTCAGAGCATCAAGTAGTGTTGTACGGAATTATCTCCTTTTTATGGATAGAAACATTATGGGAACTGTACCTAGTTTGCCGACAGGTTATTGTTTACTTCAATTCAATGTTGTCTTGATTTTCTACATATTCTTAACAACTATTTATTTCAGTTAAAAGTCTACCGAACTACCTTAGAAGTACCTCAACAATTAACCCATGTGATAACTAAAGAAACATTTGAAAAAAGCCGTACTTATGCCTTGGACAAAGCAAGATTTTCCATTATCCAAACTCTCTTCTCTCTCTGCTTAACAACATTCATACTTTACAATGGAGTGTTTTTCACATTTTGGAACCGAGCACAAAATTTTCTACAAGAATTTGGGTACACGAAAGAAAATGAAATATCTATTAGCATGGTGTTTCTACTGTTTTTCAATTTATTCTCAACTGTGTTAGATTTGCCTTTTACCATATATTACACATTTGTACTAGAAAGTAAACATGGGTTCAACAAGCAAACAGTTGGATTTTTCATAAAGGATCACATCAAACAATTTATAGTCATGCAAGTAATATTCTTATTGATATCAGCGGCTTGCATTGCCATTGTTAAGTCTGGTGGCGAGTATTTCTTTGTTTGGTTATGGCTATTTGCATTTGGTACAAGTATTATATTCATGACAATATATCCTACATATATTGCTCCATTATTTGACAAATTTACACCTCTGGAAGTCGGAGCACTTCGAACATCAATAGAAAAATTAGCAGCTTCATTGTCATTCCCTTTAGAACAATTGTTCGTTGTTGAAGGTTCAAAACGTTCTGTGCATAGTAATGCCTACTTTACAGGAATGTTTGGAGCTAAAAGAATAGTGTTATTCGATACACTTTTGCATAAAATTGATGAGGATACTAAAGAAGAGAAAGGCTGCAATGATAGTGAAATATTGGCAATTTTGGCTCATGAGTTAGGTCACTGGAAGTATAACCATATCTGGAAAAGGATTGGTGTTATGCAGTTAAACTTGCTATTGTTATTTGTAATATTTTCAATAATGTTCAAATATAATGCGCTATATACTGCTCTTGGTTTCCCAAATGATGTACGACCTGTATTAGTTGGCCTTTTATCAGTTATGCAATTTGTAATGGCACCTTATAACACCATACTCAATTTCTTCATGATTGTACTGACACGAAAGCACGAGTTTGAAGCAGATACTTTTGCAGTAAAACTGCATTTCTCAGATTCCTTAAAACATGCTCTGTTGAAATTGCACAAAGACAATTTAGGATTTCCAGCCAACGACTGGCTTTATTCTACTTGGAACCACACTCACCCAACATTGTTGCAGAGGTTGAATCACATAGATGAGAAGAAGCAAAAATAGCTATACGCTTAATTTTTTATTTAATTGACAACAAGTTTGTGTAAATATAATTTTGTAATTTGTGTAGCTATTAAAATAACTGTAAAATATTTCATGTATTTTATTAGCTCTAATTATTATAAATCTAGAGAAATGTGCATTTGTTGTCCATCGATCTATAAATATGATTTGATTTATTAGATAATCCACTTAAGTCAATTGTATTTAGTTTTGATATGAATTCTATGTATGCAATTGTATTTTAATATTTTGATATTGTTTTCTAAATACAAAATTAAATACTACTTATTTACAGTGTTTTATTCTGGTAAATCGAAGATAAAATTCATTCAATCAATTTTAAAATATATTTTATATATGCAGAAGAAAACTTTGAATACATATAAATCTGAAGTATCATCAACAGAAAAGACATTACTATAGTGTGTAAATTTTTTGAATATAAATATATTTCATCATGTGATTTAAAAATTAATAATAAATATACTCATGAATTTATATGTATTGAAATATTGGATATACAGAGACTGAAGTACAAAACATGTACATTCATTTCAAAAACACGAGTTATGATCATTTGAGGATAATTCTAAAGTCTAAATATGTATGCTTTAACTTGATATAATTTTTAAATTGAGTAAAATGTGTTTAAGAAAAAAAACGTGAATAGATTTCATGGATTTAACTTGATATCATTTCTAAATCGAGTAAAATGTATTTAACAGAAACAGAAGTCCATTGTTTCAGCTTGATATCATTTTCAAATTGAGTAAAATGTATTTAAAAGAAACTATGAATAGAAGTCCTTTGTTTTATCAAGATATCATTTTCAAATTGGGTAAAATGTGTTTGAAAAAAAAACTATGAATAGAAGTCTACTGTTTTATCTTGATATCATTTTTAAATTGAGTAAAATGTGTTTAAGAATAAAACGTGAATAGAAGTCCATGGATTTAACTTGATATCATTTTCAAATCGAGTAAAATGTGTTTAAAGGAAATCGTAAACAGAAGTCCATGAATTTAACTTAATATCATTTTCAAATTGAATAAAATGTGTTTAAGAAAAAAACACCAGTAGAAGTACATGGATTTAACTTGATGAAATCATTTTCAAATTGAGTGAAATGTTTTTGAAAAACAGCATAGTCCATGGTCAACCAGATATCATTGAGTGACATGTGTTTAATCTCATACCGAATAAAATAGAACTCAACGAACATGATATCAAATGACATAATAGCATGGGCTACCAGTATATAAAATGTAGCAAAACTTACTCGAAGCTGTGGTCTTTTATTTATTCCTGTAATTCATTTCTTGTATATTTCTAAGAAGACAGTTAAATGCTACTACGAAAGGTCTATGGTTGATTGGTTGATTTAGCTACATCAGTCACGATATTTAATCAATTATAAAATTTACAGATAATATTTCATATTATAATGTTTTAAATCACTTACTGTCAGGATAAGATTTCTCAATTTAACCGCATTATGTTTGAATCAAGATTTCTGCTTCAGTTGAACACAGCAATAATGTTTTCAATATATATGTTATAAGTTATAGAAAATAAAATTAATCAAGTAAATCAAGAAAATGCACTTAATATTAAAATACTGTACAGTCATTTGCAAATATTAAAGAATTGTGCAACAGTTTGATTATTATAACAGAATGACTTAATTTTAATAATTTTAACTTGTCGTCGAAGAACTGTCAAAGGTTTGACGTTTAGGTCGGTGGCGACATCTAACACAGAACTATATGAACCCGGTAGTCACTACGTAGTTCCCGACAAACTGGGAACGATTTTGCATAGAGGCGCTGTATGCAACCGCCACTATGAATCTAGGAATCTAATTGGATTCCTTTATACGCTTTTATATGAATTCAACTGGACGTTAGTTCCTCACGAACTGGGAACAATTTTGTATAGAGGCGCTGCATGCAATCGCCTTAGAACAATGGGATTTTTGGTGGATTTTCATTGGATTCCTTTATACGCTATTAGATATATAATTATGGTTCCGGTTTTAGAGGAATATCAATATATACATTTATATATCTATTTTCCATACAAACTAAGGCAGCTTGGCCATATATATGCATGTATAAATCAATATATACATTTATATATCCATTTCCCATACAAACTAAGGCAGCTTGGCCATATATAATCATGTATAAATCAATATATACATTTATATATCCATTTCCCATACAAACTAAGGCAGCTAGGCCATATATAATCATGTATAAATCAATATATACATTTATATATCCATTTCCCATACAAACTAAGGCAGCTAGGCCATATATAATCATGTATAAATCAATATATACATTTATATATCCAATTCCCATACAAACTAAGGCAGCTTGGCCATATAAATCATGTATAATCAATATATACATTTTATATCCATTTCCCATACAAACTAAGGCAGCTTGGCCATATATATGCATGTATAATCAATATATACATTTATATATCCATTTCCCACAAACTAAGGCAGCTTGGCCATATATAATCATGTATAAAATCAATATATACATTTATATATCCAATTCCCATACAAACTAAGGCAGCTTGGCCATATATAATCATGTATAAATCGATATATACATTTATAGATCCATTTCCCATACAAACTAAGGCGTCTTGGCCATATATAATCAGGTATAAATCAATATATACATTTATATATCCAATTCCCATACAAACTACGGCATCTAGTCCATATATAATGAGAAAAAAACAGTATATAAATCCGTGAATAACTTTTTTGTCTTTCGATGTCGGCTCTTCCTATCCATGGATTCAACTTGACGTTAGTTCCTCACGAACTGGGAACGATTTTGCATAGAGACCCTGTAAGCACCCCTTATTAAGAATATGGCGGGATATTTGAATGTGCTTTCAAATTTAGAGAAACGTTTTGATACAAAATGTATTATTATATGTCTAATAAATCATAAGAATATTCAGATTGTTTCTCAAACTTACTCGGAATGTATTGTAAAATATGTAAAACATGAAAAATCTACTTTAAAACAAACAATAGAAATGTTTAAGTGATACTTGTCTATCTATAGCTGTAATATAATAAAATATTATGTGATTGTTTTAAGCAAAACACTTTTTAAGAGCTATGCAGGACATACATTTTATTCTAGATTGTTCAAATTAGTCCATAGCACTCATTGAAATGTCTTTTAACCAATTATCACACCAATGATAATAGTTACCACTTATACTAGGATATTTAAATTATTGCACAATATTTCTTGAAATATGTTCTAAATAAGAAGTACACAAACTAAACTACATCGGAACAAAAAATAGAAAAAAACAGCACAAAATTACATCAAAGTGCTTTAAAGAATTTGTTAAGGAATTCCAGATGCATTAAAGAGCTCTGCAGGACATATCATTTATACATGAATATTCAAGTTATCAAAATTGTTTTTCGAAATATGTTTTGAAATATGCGATACTAAAAGTAAAATACTTAGAAGCAAAAAATGAATAAAAGAATATTTAAAGAGTTTGAGATGCATTTTAAAGATGTATTCAAACTATGTAATATCTTTAATAAATATAAAGTAAATTAATATCAATTATAATTTCAAAAGTGAATAAAAATATGATCTCTACCCATACATACAGTCAATTATTTTACATATCTCAATGTTAACTATTATTTATAATTGTACATATTATTAAAAATCTTTTTTATCTTGTTTTCTTCCAAAGTTTCATATATTTGTCAACGTAGACATTTTTTGCTGAAAACCACTTCAAGCAATGATGTCCACACACAGTCCTTGAATCAAATTTAACAAGAATTGCGTTTGGACAATCAAGGCCTAAAATTGATCACAAATACATCTAAAGTCAGCTTTCCTCTTCAAAGTATTTGTCTGCAACAATAAAATATATCTTAAATAGTATAATAATTTACTAAAAATATGTGTCATAAAAATAATTGAAGTTTGTGTAGTCAAGTAGAACAAATATGGGTGTGTAAAGTGGAAGCCCCAAGTCGTTAGCTACCCTCAATTGGTAAATGATACGTTTTCTTGTAAGAGCTTAAGGTTATCAAATTTCCTGTTATAATAATGAAGCTCTTGTTTGCTTCTATTTTTTCTAAGAAAACTTTATAAGAAAATTCACGATAATAGTATTTGAGTTGTATGAGGTAAAGAATTAAAATTTTGGATTAAATTAATATTTATTTTTCTGGTGAAATTGCCCATATTTCAAATTTTATTTTCATTTATCATATAATAATTAAAAATATATTTAAAATATCTATATGATCAAACAATAAAAAGAGCTTTATTGTTTGAAGTTAAAGTGATATATACATCAAGTGCTCAAGCTAAAATAATACTTACAAAATCGTGATATAAAAACGTCCTATGTAATTCTCATTTGAATCCACTTATCTCAAAAGGGTTCATAAGTTACTTCTGACATTTGGTTAGTAAGATTTTAGACAGCATTGTAGAGTCTTCAGAATTAAATCTATAAGATTAAGAAACACAATATAGAATACAAAAAAGATGACAAAATACAGTACACTATTAATACACAATACATTATTAATTTAGTAGTAATTTGAAAAGTTTAGTGTAATTTGAAAGCACACAGGAAAGCTTAAATATTACTCCAAAAAACTTTATTTAGCAACAAAAATTTAAAGTTTGAATATTAAAATATGAAGATACATCAGTTTTATGGGTGAAAACTAAAAGCCATACAAATATAATGCATTATATGCTGTAAATTTTTCCAGAGAATTTTAAATCTATATTGATCATCAGGCATAATCCAAAACTGAATGTTAGGATTTTACTTTGTAATTCAAAAATGAAAGAATTTATCAAAAGCGCGGTTATAATATATCAAAACCTTGAGTCTATATGTCGGTTATGTTTGGTATGTGTGGAAATTTGCGCCGCCATCATGTTTGTGGCTTATATATCACTCCGTCAACTATCAGACTATCCAACTATCCACTTGCGATACAAACACCAGAAAGCAAGATCATGG